AGAAAGGTCTCATAAGTTACAAATATTACCTTTCCATGTAGGAAGGTAAACAGTTCAACTTTAATAAGTCCCTTTTGATTTCTCTTTCCTGTTTACTTTTTCATGCTTCTCTTGAGTCTTGTATTTGAAAGTCAAATTTTCTATTCAGCTCTGGGCTTTTCATCAAGAATGCTTGAAAGTCCTCTATTTCACTGAATGTCCATTTTTCCCCATGAAGGTTTCCCCTTGAAGGATTATACTCAGTTTTCCTGGGTAGGTGTTTCTTGGTTTTAATCCTAGCTCCTTTAATCTCCAGAATATCATACTCCAAGCCCTTGGGTCCCTTAATGTAGAAGGTGCTAAATCTTGTGTTATCCTGATTGTGTTTCCACAATATCTGAATTGTTTCTTTCTGATTGCTTGCAATATTTTCTCCTTGACTTGGGAACTCTGGAATTTGGCTATAGTATTCCTAGGAGGTTTTCTTTGGGGATCTCTTTCAGGAAGTGATTGACAGATTCTTTCCATTTCTATTTTACCCTCTGGTTCTAGAATGTCAAGGCAGTTTTCCTTGATAATTTCTTGAAAGATGATGTCTAGACTCTTTTTTTGATCATGGCTTTCAGATAGTCCAGTAATTTTTAAGTTATCTCTCCTGGATTTATTTTCCAGGTCACTTGTTTTTCCAAAGAGATATTTCACATTGTGTTCTATTTTTTCATTTTTTTGGTTTTGTTTTATAGTTTCTTGATTTCTCATAAGTCATTAGCTTCCATTTGCTCCATTCTAAGTTTTAAGGAAGTATTTTCTTCAGTGAGCTTTTGGACTTCCTTTTCCATTTGGCCAATTTTGCTTTTTAAGGCATTCTTCTCATTGGCTTTTTGGGCCTCTTTTGCCATTTGAGTTAGTCAATTTTTTAAGTTGTTATTTTCTTTAGTATTTTTTTGGGTCTCTTTTAGCAAGCTGTTGACTTGGTTTTTCATGATTTTCTTGTATCACTCTCATTTCTTTTCCCAGTTTTTCTTCTACTTCTCTTACTTGCTTCTCAGAATCCTTTTTGAGCTCTTCCATGGCTTGGGACTGATTCATATTTTTCTGGGAGGCTTTGGATGTAGGAGCTTTGACTTTATTGTCTTCTTCTGGTTGTATGTTTTGATCTTCCTTGTCACCAAAGTAAGATTGTATGGTCTGACTTTTTTTTTTGCACTATTTGCTCATGTTCCCAGCCAATTACTTGACTATTAAACTCTTTGTTAAGGTAGGGGTTTGCTTCCAGTGTGGAAAATGTACTGTCTCAAGCTTCAGGGGTTTTGTGCAGCTGTTTTCAGAGATACCTTTAGGGACCTATAAATTTTCAGTTCTTCCAAGGTGGTATGATCAAAGGAGAGGTGTCTACTCCTTCCCTGGCCTGTGTTCTGGTCTATGAGTGACCACAAAAGCTCTTTTCTGCCTTGGAACTGTGAGGATTCCCTCTGTACCACCACTACAAGCTCCACCATGCCAGTGCTTCTCCTTGCCCTAGGACTATGACTCAGATTCAAACCTGGACAAAGCAAGAGATTCCTGCCTCAGCACCAGCAAAGAGATCCCTGCAATCCCCCTCTGATCAGCCACTCGATCCCCCCCACTGTCTGTGGGCCAGAAGCTCTGGAAGTAGCTGCCACTCTGGGGCTGCCCCAGGACTAGGGCCAGACCATGCTCTTCTCTCACCCAGGTCCAACAGACCTTTTCTACTGACCTTCTAAATTATCTGTGGCATTTGTGGGTTGAAAAGTTTGGAAACTGCTATAACTCCTCTTGATTCAGTCCCCTGAGGCCTGCTCAGGGTTCACTAAGGTCCAGTCTTTGCCTGCATGGCCCAAGCTGAACTGTACTCCTCTCCCAGCCAGGCGAAACAGACCTTTCCAATCAACCATCCAGGTTCTCTTGGGCTGGAAATTTGTTTTACCCTGTCTTTTTGTAGGTTCTGCTGCTCTAAACTTTGTTGAGTCCTTTTTTACAGGTATTTGGAGGGGTTTAGGGGACAGCTCAAGCAAGTCACTGTTTTTACTCTGCCATCTTGACTCCACCCCCCTTCACTTCCTATCTAGCAGTTTATTTCAACAGCCATTCTCTTGTCCTCTCCATCTCCCCCACCCCCAATCAACACTATCATAGCTTTTTGAAAAGGTATGTCAATCAATTTCCCTGTGACTCCATTCACACTGTTCCTGTAACTTACCAGATCAAAACACCATTGCCTGGCCACCATTTTTCTGTATGTGTTGTTTCCCTCTATTAGAATGTAAGCTCTTGGTGTGGGGCAGCTAGGTGGTGCAGTGGATAGAGCTCTATCCTTAGAGTCAGGAGGACCTATATTCAAATCTGGCCTCAGACACTTGACGCTTACTAGCTGCGTGACTCTTGGCAAGTCACTTAACCCTGACTGCCTCACCAAAAAGAAAAAAAATAGAATGTAAGCTCTTTGAGGGGCATTCCCCACCCCCTTACTTAGTACAGTGTTTGGCACTTGGAAAGTACTTAATAAATGTGTTTCTTTCCTACTTTCTCTTTCTTTCTCCCTTCCTCCCTCCTTCCTTCTCTGTCTGTCCCATCTCTTCCTTCCTTCACTTCTTTCTTTGTCTTTCTTCCTTGCTTGCTTTCTTTCTTCTTTATAGCCTTCCTCACACCTGGCCTAGAACTAACTTCACAAAAGGCACTGGACAAATACTTGAGCTGACAGTGTGGAATTGAATAAAGCCACTACAATACCCCTTACTTATGTTAAAAGCTATGGGATGCCATGCCATTAAAAAAAGGTAAGGTAGCTAGAGTATGCCTCAAGTGAGATGGTACTGATGGGGATTGTGTGGGACAGAGATCACTACTCAAAATCAAAACAAAGACTTATATACCTTGAAAGCAAAAAGGAGTTTCTTACTTTCTCATGAGAAAGGGTACTGCCGCTCGATGCACTAATGGTGAAGGCCAGGGAGTATGGCCAGGGAGTACAAATTGGTTATAGAAAGCAAGGCTTATTTATACCCTAACGTAAACTCCTACTCCTTAACCCCCTTCCCCTTATCCCATTGGCTGGGCTTCAGGGGGCACAATCTATTCATGGATATCTACCCCAGCAACAAAAAGGCAGGAAGTTTTGCAAGGCTAAACAGTTTAGGTTGGGGGTAGAGCTATTCTTTCTGCTATATGCTTAAACAAAAATAACAGGGTTGGGAGGGAGGGGTGTTTCAATGATAACAACTAAATTCCTTGAGAAGGCCATCTACAACAGGTGCCTCCAATTTCTCTCCTCTCACTCTCTTCTTAACCTCTTACTATCTGGCTTCTGACCTTATCATTTAACTGAGACAGCTCTCTCCAAATGACCAGTGAGAGAAATCCCATCTAAATCTCCCCACAATCTTTTTTCCCTACAAAAAAGGTCAGTCCTCAAATTCTTAAACTCTGGCCATCTTATAAATAAAAGTGTCACAAATGCTCAGATTCTTAAAATCTGCCCACTTCTATTGGCTATATAATAAACTTTGTCTCTGACTGAAAGAAGGCCTGAGTGGAATTCTTTCAAGGCAGTTCCACAATTTTTGGGCTCTCAGCATCCCCAGACCACAACAGTACCCAAAGATGTACCTCTCTTTACATGAAGGGGTAGTGGAGGGGTGCCAGTGCATGCAATATGATCCTTCTTGCTGTATACCTATATGGAGGTTTGGTGAGCCTGCTTCCAGAAGTGCATCACAGAAAGGTCCTTTTCCTCCCTGATTTAGGGTTTATGAAGATATCGTATTTCCTGTCAGCTTGTTATTTGATGATGAAGTTTTTTATTCGGCTGCTGAACCAGTATGCATACAAAAGGTTGGAACAATTTTGAGTTCTCTCTCTTTAGAAGAAATGCTCTGAGCTTCCAAATCAGAGATCAACCAAGCAATTCATCAACAAGCATTTATTAATCACCTTCTATGTGCTAGCCTCTGTGCTAGATGCTGGGGAATGGATATAAAAGTGAAATAAGTCCTATTCTTAAGAAGCTTGCTTACATACTAAATATTAGAATTTCAAATGTATTATTGAAAATGCTACAACACACACACACACACATACATACACACACCACTAGGGCTCCTTTAGTTGACATGAAAATGCTTTGTTTTGTAATCCTCTGTTCCTTATCTTTTGTACAGATTTCCATTTTAATATGAACTACATTAGCTTTTCTTAAAGTGGGATAACCCTATGCCTGTCGAATTGTACCTTCTAGGTGAAAGTGCAGTCCACACTCATTAAGCTATATTTTAACACTGGGAAAGATTCATGACTATTCACAGTGATTAAGAGCCCTCATAAGGAAGAGGCATAAATTGTGGGAGGAAATGAGAGGAGACCTAAATTGCCGTGAGTATTATATATTTCAAGAAGAGTACAGGCAGTGGAATACAAGGATGTGGGTTCAGATCTCACCTCTGATACTATCTGTGTGACTTTGGGCAAATTTCATCATCTGCAAAATGACTGACTGGGTTGGACAAGATCAATGACAAGGTCTCCTTTGGATTTAATCTATGAAGAGCCTCTGACGTGGCATCCAGCAAAAGCTCTCTTCCAGTGTCCTCTGCTATTCCATAAATGATAACAGTTGACCATCAAAGGGACCAACAATGGGTAACTGTCCTTTCCCAACTGATTACATTCTGGTTCAGCAATGATTAAATTCTGAAGCCTTCTCCTGTCTCAACAAGGAGCATTTTTTGATGACAGGGATTGAGAAATGTTCTCCTTTTTACTAGTCAGTCATTAGTCATCATGACTTGCCCCAGAACCAAGGGGTTATTATTATTATTATTAATATAGTCTGGGTTCAGCCTTAAAAGGCTGATTCCAAAATCATATTTCTTGAGCTTGTTTTTTTCTTAATTCAAGTTTTCAGGGAAACTTCTAAATAGAGCTCTTGCTTAAGTCTACACAGGTGTGGAGTTCCCATGAAAAAACTCAAGTTAACAATGCATTTTGGTTACAGGACAGCCTTTATTTCATCATACAGAAAGAATGGGCTGAGTGAGGACCCACAAAGAACTCACAGGAACTTGTAAAACAATGCCAAAAAACACAAAGGATTTATAGGATCCCATAACAATCAAGATGCTCTTCTTCCCTAGGTCTCAGAGGAAAGAGAGGCCTCTCCTTGGAGTCCTTTCCTAATGGTTTGAAATTCCTCCTCAGAAGAAATATGAACTCGGATTTTTGCTGGATGAGCAAGCTCTCACAATATGGTTAGCCCCTCTCTCTACCCCTAGGAGTCTATACAGGTCTCAAACCCTGAAGTAACACCCTAATGCAAACAGTTTTCAAAGTAGAGGTCCACAAGGTCAAAATTATTTTCACAATAATACTAAGTTTTAATTTCTGATTTGGTAAATATCAAAAGATATAATCACATAAACAAAAAGCTCTTTAATTAATAAAGAAATACTTTTAAAGAGTGTAAGAGAGTTCTAAGACCAAAAGTTTTGAGAACTATTATCCTAAGGGCTTGGAATACTCTTAGAAGAGAAATGAACTTGAGTTGCTAAAGGCAACCTCCTTATCAGATCTGAAGCAAATGAATATCTCATAATAGTAGCAGAAAGAAGAATTCAGTCTTGAGATTCTTCCTTTTGTCTTTGGCCTCCAGATCTACAGCCACTTGCACAACTTTCAGCACTGGAATTCTTGATACCTCTCCAGAAGGCAGGAGTTTTCCTGAAGGTAGGAATTCCTACCACTTTCTACTTGCCCTCTTCCATACTCCTTCCCTGCCCACCCCAATCATCAGATAAAAAATGTCAAATCAGTCACTCAACAAGCATTTTTTAATCACAAGTTAAGTGCTGTGCTAAGCACTGGGGATACAAACATAGGGTTTCTATCCTCAAAGATTTTACATTCTACTGGGGGAAATGATAGGCAAAAAATCATACACATAATATATACATAATGTAAATGAAAGGTAATTTCTGCTGTAAAGCACTGAGGTCAGGAGGAGGAGGAGGACTAGGGTTGAGGGGGAAGGAAGAGAAACCAGAGGGAGAGCATACCAGGCATAGGAAACTGCCAATAAAAAGGCATAGATGGAGTGTATTGTGAGGAAATGTTTCTATGTACCTTTTCTGGCTGAGAAATCTCTTCCATGTCTTTCTTTGTAACAACCTTTGGATGAAAGTCTTTTCACTGATGGTCAGGATTCCAAAAAAGTTTTTCTGTTTCCTATTTACACTTCATGGCATGACTACAATAAATAAATTAGTTTTTTAAAACACCATTTTTAACATCTAGGACAAAGGCAGCATAAATATACCAGATTCAGCTTTAATTTGTCATTACAATAAATGTAATCTTCCAAAGGCTGAAGAGATGCCAACTGCTTGGGAAGAAGCTGACTGAAGTTGGGGTTTCCAAGTCCATTGAGTGAAAAGCAACCCATGAAATGAAGGAGAAGCTTACAGGGAAGTCAGCTGTAGAGAAATTAATCTTTTCATATGTGTTTTATATTTTCCAACATCAGTCAAGAATTTATTTGCTTTAAACTTGGTTGTTGCCATTCTCAGTCTAGCATGGATGTGGTCATGGGCCTGATTGTGGCATCCTGGGCAAATTTCCAACTCTTTTTTATCCGGTTTGGCTCACTTACTCCACCTGTACTCACATCGGCAAGTTCAAAGGGTTTTCCCAGAAGGCAGTGGCCATATTGCTATAGCTCATTCTCAGGGTCATAAAAGGTAACCCTAGCATAGAGGAGTCATGCATCTACTTCATGCAACTGTCACTCCTAATCCCTCACCTGTTTGCTTCCCATTTAAACAAACAAGCCAAGATGACACCATTAACTCTGAATCATGAATCATTTACTACACAAAATGCAAAACAATATAACATAACAGTCCTCCAATATACCTGAGTCACACTCTCCCACTAATGTACATAGTGTCTATGGGGAAGAATAGGAGCAAATTTACAGAGAGTAAGTAGGAAGGCACATGAATAGCTAGGAAACCGGGGCACCTGGAGCACCTCACACTTCTAGAGTATGGACTTTTATGTCCCTAAGGAGCAGTTTTCACCGCCAAACATCTGCTGGATCATCATCAAATTGTTCCTGGCTCTTCCACCAAAACTAATCAAGGGCAATACAGACACTTCTCACTTCATATAAATTTACATTATGCAAATTCAACTTTATATAAAAAAGTCTTCATTCCAAAAAAACCATCTATTTTAACTTTACCATTTCTCTCTCTCTCTTTCTCTCTCTCTCCCCCCCTTAGTTCCCACTCTCTCATCTCCCTGCCAAAAAACCAAACCAAACAAACCAAAACAAAACAAAATGAACCAAACCAAAGTCCTCCAAGTGAAAGCAGAATAACCAGGCATGGAAAGACTGCCACCACTGCTGCTGCCAGATTGGGGGGCCTGGCTTGAGACCTCCAATGCAAAGAGAGGAGACTTTTGCCCCACTCCTCTCACCAACCTGTGTGTCTGTCTTCCAACTGTCTGCACTCAGGTACTGCATGTCACTTGTCCTCTCTTGTCTGTATCCCTGTCTGGCTTCCATGTGGCTGGACCCAGGTCTCGTGTTTTTCCTCCTCCTGCTCTTGCTTTTCTGTACCTGGGCCCATGTCCTTGAACCATGCACTGGCCTCCTCCCTCCAAGGCAAGGCATATATTCTCCTTCCGACTTCTCTCCCTCCCTCCCTTCCCACAACCGTGGGCAAATTTCCATTCATAAAAATTGCTTTACAAAGAGGTCTACAGAATGGTCTACTTACACCATCCATTTGTGTAAAGGGAGAAATGTCTTTCTTACACCCTTTCAGCAAAAGCAGTTTCCCTACGGGGCTACTCAAGTCTTCTCTATTGGCTCACCTTGGAGAGGTGTCCTCCTTTCAAAGTGCTAGGTGGCAGTAAAGGAAGAGAGTAAGGCTGGTGATTTTGAACAGCCCTGCCTCACTTAGATCCAATTCACTTTCAAGTTAAGACATCACCTTCCTGATGTCATTGGTCCTCTTTGAGAATAAAGGACACACAACAAGGTAGTAAAGGGCAAGGTAAACTTCCTTGCCCAGCAGAGGCTGTTAAGTAGCTGAGGGTGCTTTCTTCAATCATCTCCTAGCAGCAACTCTGTCCTCCCAGTCAGCTCCCACAACAAAGCTTTTCCTCTAATCATCTCAGGAGGGAATGGAATACAGATTCTAAACTCTTCTCTCACGTCTCAGCATAGCTATTTTTCTTCTATGATCCATCTACTCTGCTGGACTCTGCTGGATTTGGTTTCTTCCAAGCACCAGAAGACTTTCTCAGTTCTTTCTCCCCTATACTGCTTCTTCAGCGTCTGTTGGGTTTTTCTGTCTCTGTTGGATTCTGTATTGTTCCTTCCTCAAGAAGAATCTCCTTATGTGAAGTGATTCATCCCTTCCTTAAGATGAAATATCAAAACTCATATTTCTGTCAGATCTACCATAAATAGGCAATATATTATTGTCCTACAGTCACCTGAAAGTTCTAGTTATCAGGCATTCCCAGTTATTTACCTCAAAGTCCTTATAGAAATCCTATATAAATTAGCTGCTGGGAAACCAGATAATGTATTAAGTAAATATTTTTACTATATGGGCTGATTAGTTCCAAGCCCAATATTACACAAACTGTTTCCAAAAGTAGGAGAAGAAGGGATCCTACCAAATTCATTTTATGATACATAGATAGTCTTGATACTGTCTTTGTCTATACATCTCCTACTCTTCCTTTCTCTTGGCTTCTAATGTTTCAAAAATACTTTCTCATAAGCAGTGACCCTGAAACTCAAGAACTTCATGTCAGGACTTACATAATTTTCGTATGGGCCTGAAATAATTATTTGATTCATAGTTTGTAAATTACAAGCTTAAAAAAAATCTAAAAACAGTTATATGTAAATAAACTGATTAACCACAATGCCATCTTTACATTAACAAGTGCTCTACTTTCAAACAGGTCCTTGTAGTACATTTATCTAAGAGGATCTTTTCTCTCAGGTCCTTATAATAGCCTGTGACTTTCCTCTAGTATGTTTATCTGATGACTATGTTTTTTCTCAAATTGATCTTATCAGAGTTTCTTACATAGCTTTAATTTAGACATTATAGGACTCTTTACTAAAGGTTAAGTTCCCCTTTCTGAAAGCTGGAGGGTTGACTGCTAGTTTACCGATTACAAGTTCTTCTTTTAGTCTTTGGGGGTAAGTTCCCCTTTTCTGGAACTCCCTGAAGTAAAATCCCCTTTTTAGTAGCTGAAAAATTATGTTAGTCAATCTACAGGTACCTTAAAAAGTAACACTTTTAATTGCAAATGCTACAGCTACAGGCCAAAGATTTCTAAGGCAATCTCACTTTGACAGACAGGTTGATAGACCAGACCCTAACCCAATAGAACATCAGATTAAATAGTTGTCGTGTCCTAGAAACTCCCCATTATGCTCCCACTGCACCCACACTCCAAATGTTGGCAACAGCACTAATTTGGGTTAGGAAAACCCAGGAAAAATAAACTTAGTCAGATGATCTGCCTTTTCCAATTGAATTATGTTCAAAACAAGTTTCTTAAAATTGCTGTAATTTTTAATTCCTATTTTTACGTTACAAAAATAACCTTTGTAAATTACTTCTTTCTCTCTGACTATTGAGGGGGTTAGATGACCTGATTCAATTGCAAATGCTAGCTTTGCTAATTAAATTATTATACTTGGAAGTTTTATGCCTTGGACTTTTTACTTTTTTAGATTTAAAATCAATAGGGGGAAATGTACATATGACATAATTTTAAGTTCAATCTGCATTATTAACATTTTCTTCAATTTCTTAAGTTTAGAGAATCAAGAAAACAATAAAAATACTCCAAAACTTTGTTCAAGCAACCTCTTCTACACAGTCTTTCCTGATTTTCACCCCACCCCACCCCCAGCTATTACTTCCCTTCCCCCTCAAAAAAATTTACATTGTATTCATTTTGGATATATTTTGTATACATTATATATGTACATATTGTCTCCCTGGTAGATAGTATATTAAGTCTCTTGATAACAGTCATTTTTATTTTTGTCTTTTTATTCTCAGGGCCTAGTATCCCCAGGGCTAGACAATTACTGTCTAGCAGAAAGACGGTGCTTAATAAATACTTGTTGGTTAATTGGTATATCCTATACAGCTTCCTGAGTGTGTTAAGTGTTTTCTGGTCTACTTATATTTACTTATTCCATTCCTTATTCTAGAATGCCCTCCCATTCCCTCTTCCTTCTTCCTCATTTACTAGGTAAAATCCTACCCATAGTTTAGGTTCTGGTTTAAATGCTACCTTTCTTCATGAAGCTTTTCCTGATTCCTCAGGTGGAAATTCCTTAGGACCTTCTCTGAACCACAGTACTATGTTACGCTGTGTTATAATTATTCATGTACATTTTTAATCTCCCCTTGTAAATGATAAGCTCCATGAGGGCAGGGGCATCATCATATTTCTTTGTACATTGTATATTCAGGACCTTAAATAGTAGAGTTCAATTTCTGTTTAATTGAGTTGAAACATGGACAATTTATAGTGAAGATGATATTCAAACAGAAAAAAAGAGATTGGGGGGCAGCGAGGTGGCACAGTGGATAGAGCACCAGCACTGGAGTCAGGAGGACCCGAGTTCAAATCTGGCCTCAGACACATAACACTTACTAGCTGTGTGACCCTGGGCAAGTCACTTAACCCCAATTGCCTCACCAAAAAAAAGAAAAAAGAGTGAAGGAGAAAGCAGAAATGTGTCTAACTTTTACCTATGAAGGTCACAGATCTTATTTATCATTTAAGCAACTCTCTACAAAGCTACAACCTCTTGAAATTCTCTCTGATTAACCATATGAAAGATAATTTACCTCAGCAATAAAAAAGAAATTCTCATGTTCCCCAATACTTATTATCCCATTTCATTTATCTGTAGGGTATAGATTAAGGGAATTATTTAATAGTGCAATATAAGTTTCCTGATGGCAAGAGCAATTTTTTTTTTGCCTTTGTATCCCCAGAATTTAGCAGAGTCTTTGGCATGAAGTAGGCTCTTAAATGCTTTTTGATTGATTTACTTGATTAGCCTACAGGGCATGAGAAACAAAAGTATCTCCCTGTGAAGAGTAAGCATACTTGTTGATACCTTGTTGAGAGAACTTAAGACATTTCCTGATTCAGGGCTTAGTGTTACAGTATCTCAGGCAGAGAAGTTCCTGCCCATCCATACCCCCTGCCCCAAAAGAAGAGTTCTGAATGGCTGCTGTTGGACAGATTTACAAGGCAGAGACAGACATACTGTCTCCGATAAAGTCAAGAGAATTCCTGGATAATGTCAAGTTTTAGACCCAAACCTTAGAGAGGTATTAGTGTAATTTCTCAACCTCATGGTAGCCATTAAGCATTTTACTATTCAGACTTCTATTTTGTCCTTGTATGGCTAATACTTTGGTGACCTTCTTCCAAAGCTAGGCCAGCTCCATTTACCCCTAAGGGTCCTAGAGGCCTCTAAGGGACTGAGATATCTTTCTCTAATACTATCAGCTTGAGCTTGCATTCTGGTGGGTTCTCTCCCTCACCATTAATTACCAGTACCTGACACCTCAGTTCCATTTAACCAATTAACTATAAAGGGATATTTATGCTTCAAAGATATAACTGGAATAGAAATATAAACATTTGCCTTCAACATTTCCCTTAAGTCATTCTCCTCTATGTGACCCCAGCCTGTGGGAGGAGTGGGCTCGATTTTGTTCTTACATGGCATTTGTTCCACCAAGTTCACCTCCTAATGGGACATGTATCTCAATGATCTATTGTCTCAGCTACCACTGAGCTAGATCCCAAAGATCCCTCCTAGGAGCCTTAAAGCTGGACCAGCTGGCTATAAACTCTAGCATGAACTCCACTCTAGGACCTCTAGCTCTATTGACCTTTTATTTATTTATTTGTTTGTTTGTTTGTTTGTTTGTTTGTTTGTTTGTTTATTTGTATTTAGTATTTTATTTTTCCCAGTTACATGTAAAAACAATTTTTAACATTTATTTTTTAAAAACTTTTGAGTTCCAAATTCTCTCCCTTCTTCCCTCTCCACCCCCTCATCAAGAAGATAAGCAATTTAGTATAGGTTATACATGTATAGTCATGTAAAACATTTTCATATTAGTCATGTTGTGAAAGAAAACAGAGGGGAAAAAAAACCTCAAGGAAAATAAAGAAAGTTTAAAAAGTATACTTCAGTCTGTATTCAGACACCATCAGTTCTTTGTCTGGGGTTGGATAGCATTTTTCATCATAAGTCCTTCAGAGATGTTTTAGATCACTGTATTGCTGAGAATAGCTAAGTCATTCACAGCTGTTCATCTTACAGTATTGCTATTACTTCATACACAGAACATTTCACTTTATATCAGTTCATGTAACTCTTTCCAGGTTTTTCTAAGAGCATCCTGTTCATCATTTCTTATAGCACAATAATATTCCATCATAATCACATACCACAATTTGTTTAGCCATTCCCCAGTTGAGGGGTATCCCCTCAATTTCCAATTCTTTGCCACTAGAAAAGAGCTGCTATAAATATTTTTGTACATATAGATCCTTTTCCTTTTAGTTTTTTTTCCCTCTTTTCAGATATAGACCTAGTAGTGGTATTGCTAGGTCAAAGGGTATGCATGGTTATAGTTCTTTGGGCATAGTTTCAAATTGCTCTATAGAATGGTTGAATCAGTTCACAACTCCACCAACAGTGCATTAATGTCTCATTTTCCCCACATCAGTTCCAACATTTGTCATTTTCCTTTTCTGTCTTATTAGCCAATATAATAGGTATGAGGTAATACCTCAGAATTGATTTAATTTGCATTTCTCCAATCAGTAGTGGGTTGGAGCATTTTTTCACATGGCTATAGAGAGCTTTGATTACTCTATCTGAAAACTGTTCATATCTTTTGATCATTTATCAATTGGGAATGGCTCTTATTTTTATAAATTTGATTCAGTTCTCTACATGCTTAAGAAATGAGGCCTTTATCAGAAAAACCTGCTTCAAAAATTTTTTTCAGTTACTATTGCTAACTGTATTTCCTTCCATCCTATTCCTCCTCCTCCACCATTTCTTCTCTTCTCTCTCTCCTTTCACCTTGTTCCTCCTCAAAAGTGTTTTGCTTCTGACTACCCCCTTTCCTAATCTGCCCTCCCTTCAATCACCCCCATCCCAATGACCTTTTAAAATTTACAAGGTTGAAGCCTCCAATCTCCTTCACCTAAAATCAAAAAACAAAGCTAGAGGCCAAGAACTGAGGTCCATATTCATAGGACCCATGTCATCCTTGGACAGGAAGGAGCTATGACCTCTCCCCTTACAATATATTCTCTCATTGGAATACTAGCAGACTGGAAGACGTGAAACCAAGGGAAGGGATAACGTTAACTAGTACTTCTGGAATGTACCCCTAATTCTGGCTACTTGGCTAAAGTCAGTCAAAGATACTCCTGTTTGCCATATAGTTATACCAGTTATAGAATGTCTATGCATTCTCCAAAATCCACGTGGGAATTGCATCAGCAAGTACTCTACACATGTGCAACCTAAACTAGACTAGACTCACTCGCCAGTCTCCCATTGTACTCACCATTTGCTCCTGGCTTCATTTCAATTCAGGATGAGAGGGGCCAGTCCTGAAATACATATAAAAATGGAATTTACCAAATAGTAAGCCCCTTTCCAAGTGAAGAAAATACGACCTTTGGTACAGAAAGGAGCAGTAGCAAGGGACTAAAAGCCACAAACAGTATGCAGTAAGAGAGCTAGATTCCGCCTATTTGAAAAATATGGGTCTGCTAGGAAGGAGAGTTACCTGTCTAGCAATCCTAAATGTGTTTACCTTCTTGGGGACTCTAAGCCATAAGAGTAGTATGATGTGGCTGTATATAAGGATTGATTTCTGTCGCCCAGGACTAAGTGTTGCAAAAGACAAATCAGAATCAAAGATCTCCAATAATTTCAACACTATGCCAATGATACATTCCAAGCCAATGCTTCCTGCTTCTCAAAGCTGGTAAATATACAAAGGATACAATATCCCAGATGACACAATGAAGCTGTTGCCAAATGACATTGATGAGACAATAGTGATACAAGGGATACAATATCCCAGATAACATAATGATCAAAAGTTACATCTATCCTGAACACATTAGAGGCCTACTGGCTTTCCCTTTGAAACTGTATAATCCCCCCTGCAAAGTGGTAAGCAAGGCAAACATAACTCTTCTTATACGATGTTAGTCATTGTAGCAATGCATCCCGGGGTTGACTCTTTCCTTGAGAAGTCACATCCCAAGGTGGAGGAGAGGAGGAGACTCAATTCTGACCAGCTTGCCCTTATAAAATGAAAGAGTACATTGTACAGACACTGAAGAAAAACAACACCTCAAGGCTGCAGGGGAAAATGGTAGTCAATGCTTTTATCAAACTCCAAGGTCTTGCTCCGTTGTCTTGAGTATTCCTTCCTTGTTCTTTTGTCTCTGTGCTTGTTCTGCCATCTGAGTGTCTAAAGTCTCTGGATCCTCTTGGGCACAGATCCTGATGTCACGTTAAGGAACCCATATTGGTCCTTCTGCACCATCTGGAAAGACAGAAGCATACCCCCTCCCCCAAGTCAACAACCTATCTGGCCCAGACCAATGATTGGTTTTTGGGTCCTTCCACATGACTCTTTTTTGAGTCTTTTATTCTTTCAAGTCTATAACCCATAAAGGCCATTCTGCAGGAATTGCAATTGGTGAAGGCAATTTTGGTTGTAATGCTCCCACAGCGACATTTGGGACAGGGCATACTGGGTAAATTTTGTGGTGTCCTTTTGTGTGTTTCACATTCTCTTTTTATGTGACCTGGTTTCCCACATTTAGAGCATTTTAATATTCATGAGTCCTTGAAGTATCATTCTGCCATCACTTGTGCCTGAAAATGTGTGGTTCCTATATCCTGACATCTCTAGATCATTTCTTCTATAGTCATATTAAGTTTACCTCCTTGTAAAGCTTTCTGGAATTACCCCCAGTCTCGGAGGTTCTCTCCAACAGTCCCAAAATGAACAATTTCCCAATTTCTTTTTTTTTTTTGCTTTTTTTTTGGGGGGGTTGAGGCAATTGGGGTTAAGTGAATTGCCCAGGGTCTCACAGTTAGTGTCATGTGTCTGAGACTGGATTTGAACTCATGTCCTCCTGACTTCAAGGCCAGAGTTCTATCCACTGCGCCACCTAGCTGCCCCAATTTCCCAATTTCTTAATGATTAATCTCAAAACCTCGGAATCTGCTAAGATGTTTTTAGCTGTACAAAACTTTTCACTGTAAGTCCAGGTTGGCCAGGCCTGGATCCACAAGAAAAGCAGTTTTACAATTTGTTGCTTCCCTAGCTGCAGTCCCCCAGAAGTCTCTGGCTGCATTTAAAATTCTATAAAGTAGAATTCTATTATTATTATTATTATTATTATTCTGAGGAATTTAAAGGGGAAATTGCAATTGTTCCTGTAATACTGTGTATCTCCCTGTTCCTGTTAATTGTTCGAAATAGTAACTCCTGTTCTGTTTTATATTTTACTTGTTCTTGACCTTTCTCAAAGTATTCTGACTTCCATAGAAAATAATCTCCAGGATTAAGACATGTTTTTACTATAGAATACCAGTCATATAGGGCTAATGCTGTATTGGATACTGTGTCTAACAATGTTTGTACATAAGGACCATTAGGTCCATAACTAACTGAAGCCTGTTTTAATTCCTTTAACAATTTAAATTCAAACTGTCTATGAACTGTGATGTTTGTACCTGGGTTATTAACATGTTTCTCCTCATATACTGGAAATAGCATGGTTTTTGGCACAGCTAATTTTAATTTCATGGGTACTTCCTCTCCTTTTTCCTCTGTTTTTATAATTGCTTCTTCTAATAACCCTTTACAATGTGTTTTATGGATTTTTTAATTTTTATTCGTCTCCTCACTATCTTCTCTGTATGAGCCTGATCTATATGAAGGTGGGGGATGTGGTGGTGGTGATGAAGGTGGGATAGATTTTGCATAGATAACTTCTACAATTCTAAGCTTTTCCTCCAATACTCTATTCATCTCTTCTTCTTCCTCTGTTCCTGACCCCACATCTGCCTTAAGTACTTTTTGTTGTTAATAGCACCTTCTCCGGGGGAGTAAGACACATTTTTCCAAAAATTCCTGTAACTGACCATCTGTAACGAATAAAACTTCAGTGGATTTCACTATTTCCTAGAAAAATTTTAGATAATATTCTCTGTCTTTGCTTCTGCTTTGTGTTTGACTCATACTTTTGATCCCAGGCGAGCCTCCCAAAACCAAAAGTGTGCGTGGCCGATCCAAAGCTACACTATTCTTATGCTCGAGCCCTTTTTCTTTTCTTTTCTTATGCTCCTGCTACCAAGCCTTTCCCTTTTCTTTCCCCTATATTCCCACTTAGCCTGGTGTCCTTTCAGCCCTAAAACTGCTAAAAGATAGGGTGTTGTGATCGCCAGTCTCTTACCTTGTTTTCACAGCGTTGAGCTGCCAAGGTTCTTTTTTTTTTCTTCTCCCGAGTATCAAGAGAGCCACTCCCCTCGTACCTTTTTAAGTCCCTGTTCCAGCGCCACCTGTCCCCCGAGGCTAAGCGTTGCAACAAAGGGAGGAGTGCGCAATGAAGAAACGTGGGCCAGGTGGATCAATGAAAGACTGAGCCATTTATTATTCTGAGGGTCTGGGTTATATAGTGAAAGTTAACAATCATCCCTGGAGTCGGTCCCATCAATCTTATACTAATCCCAGCCCTTATACGCATCCTTAATTATTCACACCTGCTTGCCAACAAGGTTCAAGGGGAAGAGTGTTCTAACACCTCCCGCCCACGGCGAAATTGGTGAGCCAAATATTCTGAATAAGTGAGCCCTTATTAGACTCTCCAGCTCTAGCCCTCAACAGGTTTCTGTGGGTAAAAGAACTTACTTAACATTGTTGGGAAAGGCCAGTCTATTAGCACCAAATGCACTTCCTTCTCAGAGTAGTCCAGTTGCAGAGTAATACCATACAGTTAAATACCTATATGAATTTCTGTGGAAAGACACTCAAAAATATAAGGGTTCGGATTGCTTATCATCTCCCAAGTATTTTTCTTTAGATGAGGGATTCCAAACTACAAGGTGTTTCTACAATTCTGAAGGACTTTAAGACCCTTGGAGAAGTGGGACCAACCAGTGATGGAGGAGAATTATATTAGGATTACAGCATCTTAGATTTAAGTCTAAGAGCTTGGATATCAAGTCCAATTTCTTTTAATTCATAAGGCTGAGAGGTTAAACAACCAGACCAGGGTCACATAGCTTGTAAATATCTAAGGCAGGATCTGAACTCAGCTCTTCTTGACTTCAAATTCAGTCCACAGACAGTCAATAAATATTTATTAAGCACCAAACTATTATTAAGCACCAGGCACTGTGCACCAGGAATACAAAAATGTGTGTGTGTGTGTGTGTGTGTGCGTGTGTACAAGTAAACAAATATGTACAAACAAACTAAATCCAGGATAAACAGGAAAAGGTAAGGGAAGGTATTAGGATTAAGGGTTGGAAAAGGCTTCCAAAGAAAGATAGGTTTTTATGTGGGACTTAAAGGAAGCCAGGGAAGCAAGGAGGTAAAAATGAGAAAGGGGAGTACTCCAGGCATGATCAACAGTCAGAGAAAATGCCTGGAAAGGAGCGTCTTCTTTGTGAAATAGCAAGGAGGCCAGTTTCACTGTATCAAAGAGTACATAGTAGTGAGTAAGATGTAAGAAGACTGGAAGGGGGGTTGGGGAAGGTGCCAATAAAAAATGTTTATTGACTGTGCTATCTACTATATTGTTTCTGGACTACTGTAAGTTGTTGATGTGTTTTCTGAACATATTTATGAGCCTTGTGAGACCTTTATATTTCTTGTGTAGAAAAAAACATTGTTCTATGCCTGATAAACACAATGTTACCTTGAATTCTTGTACCAGAATTGGGGATACCCTTTTGCCCACATCTGTGGAGACCTAGGCAGTATGAGATTTCCCATAGCAAACTTGAGAAAAGGGCAATGTGAGCCAGAGTTATTTTGTGGATAGCCTCTGAGATTGACCAAGCAAGACAGTACTTCAAGATATGGGATTCCTAACCTTTTTTTGTTACATGGACCCCTTTGCGAACTCTGGTAAAGCCTGTGGATCTCTTCTCAGAATAATGTTTTTGAATGTATAAAATGAAATACATAGGATTACAGGATTAGGATTGAGATAGTTATTGAAATATTAAAAAAAATGTTCAGGAAGTCCCCCAACCTAATAGAATATAAGCTCATTGTCAAGTCACTCAGTCAACTAGCATTTATTATCACCTACTAAGGGCCAGGTACCGTGATAAGTGCTGAAGTACAAAGAAAGGCAAAAAACAATCCCTGTTCTCAAAGAGAGCACAGTCTGATGGGGGAGACAACATGCAAGCAACTATATACAAACAAGATATGTATAGGATAAACTACGTGGTAATTTCAAAGAGAAGGCACTAAGATTAAGACTAGGAAATGCTCCTTGCAGGAGGTAGGATTTTAAGTGGGAACTAAAAGAAGCCAGGGGACTATCTCCATCCTCCTGATATATACTTTGCCACTGGACCCAGATCTTTCCCAAGTCATGGTCCTCTTCCAGAAAGGACAAACAAAGGAAGCCAGGGAAGCTAGAAGCAGGACAGTTTTGTTTTTCTATTTGTATCCTCAGTACTTGGCCCTGGGTTTGGCCCATACAAAGCAATAAATGCTTTTCATTCATTCACTCCTATGAATTAATTTTTACTGTTAGCCCCCCCTTTTTTTAAGCAGATGGATGGTCCTGATTTTTTAAAGACCATCGATGAAGGAATTCAAGACAAAGGTCATCAGCTTCTGCTCACCCTCAGTCTTATGGGTGGTAAGTGAAACTCCAGGATATTCTGCATAGTTTTTAAACTAGGAAATGATGAGAGCTCTCAGAGGGAAAGCCTTGCTCCTGCCTCACTCACTCGTAACACACAACCAGTCATGGATAAATACTCTTCATCACTGCTCTCCAACTTTAATGTTTCATGGAAAGAGCGCTGCATTCGGAGGTCCTCTGAGTGCCTGGTCTGCAGCTTGCTACTACGTGACTTTGGGACACTTACAGCCTCTCTCCAGGCCTCAGTTTCCTCATCTGTACAATCACACGGTAGGCCTGGATGACCTTTAAGGTCCCTTCTACCTCTAAGATCTCTAAGATCCCAAGACGATGATTTTTGAGGACTGGAAGAGACTGGTCTCCAGGGTAGGAGGCAGTCAGAGAGGTGTGGGGTCCGGGCGGGGGCAGGGCCTCATACTGGGGGGTAAGGAAGGTCCCCGGCAGGCCGCCCAGGCAGCACTTCCCTCACTCTCTCCACCTTCGCTCCGGGGAGCGGCGGCCAGATGGTGAAATGCCCTCGAGACCACGGCTGTAGAAAGGGCGAATCTCAGCCACCCTGACCCCGGCCCCGGAAATGACGCAGCCGCGAAGGGCCATTTCCGGCTCAGGCGTCGGCGGCGTTTGCCGGAGGAAGGAGCCCGGGGGAGCCGCGTCGGTACCGTCCCCTGCGCCGCCGGTCTCTTCCTCCCAGTTCCCCGTCCCGCCCCGGCCAGGCCTGGCCCGGCCCGGGGCACATCGGCCGCGGGGACCCCGGCGCCCGGGTAAGTGCGGGAGGAGGCGCGGGTGGGCGCGCGGGGCCTTGGCCTTGGCCTTGTTTACACCTGACGGGAGCCGGAGCCAGAGCCGGGCCGGAGCCAGAACGGGAGCCAGGGCTGCCTCACTGGTCCGGCCTTGAATCTGAGCAGCCTTCTCCGACCTCTTCTCAGCGGAGGCCTGGGCCTCTTCTCGGCCCTAGCCGTGACGGCTAGCTCAGCGTGACGCCCGCTCCCTTCGCCCCCCCAGACCCGGCCGGGCTGCCAGGGCCAGCCTCCCCCGCCCCGGGCACAGGTCGTTCTTTCTTGGGGTGGTTAACTGCCGCCGAGTGGCCCTTAGTTCACGCTCAAAACCTCGGAGGCCGTGGGGAGGGGGACGTGTGTGTGTGCTCGTGTCCGTGTTCGGGCGGGGGGGGGGTGGTATCTGGCCTGCCTCCCCCCTGCAGCTCCTCTTTCTTTGATACGTGCGGAGGGCTCAAAGTTCGTGGGTATATGCCCTCCGGTTTGGGTATTCCCTCTTGTTTCGGGAAGTTAGGCCTGTTCTCCTCCATCCCCCTTCCCCCAACAACCACCACCCTTTTTTTGTGCCTTTAGAGAGCCTTAAGAGATCGTGGTTTGAATTGGCCACTACTAGTCGATTTCTTCCTTCTGAATGTTGTAAGGAGTTAAGCCCTATTCATGAGACGTTTCTGAATTTTCCACTGAATAAATTTTCATGCCTGTAAACCAGACATCAACGAAAGTGACTCCGGACAGACTTGGCTCTCAGATTTTCCGGAAACAAAATGACACATTATTATCTCCTTTGTGTGAAATGTCAAGTTTCTTCCTACGGTGGTATTGATGGGCTCTAATAAGGGGTGTTTTGTTCTTGGAAATATGCATTTGCTCTTCATTGCTCCTGACTCTCACCCATTACTCTTATTACCACTTTGTATGTATTTATTCTTGTCACCCATAGAATGTTTTGTTTTTTACTTTTTATCTGCAGCACAGTGCCTGGCATGTAGTAGGAGCTTAGTAATGCTTGTTGATTGACTAAAAAAAAACTTTGTGACTGTTTCAGAAAGAACAAACTTTTGGTTCTGAAAAGTGAGTAAAATAAGCTACAAAATGAACTAACTAGATAAAGATAACGGCCACAGTGGGTACTGAGCAAGAATAATTTGAATTGTTTGCCAATTAAGATTCATTTTTATCACTTTTACATGTCAGGTTTTGGTCATGTAATAGAAAATGGCGTGGTTTTTCTGTCAGTGTCAAATTGAGAAACTAAGTTGTTGAATCATAATTTTTTTTCTGGAGTAGATTTTCTCTGGAAAAAGAGAAATAGATATCTCTTGAAAACTGATCAGTTGGTCAAGTAGTACTAGCTTTTTCAGGTATTGAAGTTAGTTAACCTTTTCAGATAAAAAAGCATACATTTGGGCAGCTAGGTGGTGCAGTGAGTGGATAGAGCTCTGGCTTTGGAGTCAGGAGAACCTGAGTTCAAATCCCAAGTACGTTTCTTAGGGTTGGTTGGTGGGCTTTGTTTTTGTTGTTGTTGTTGTTGTTAGGCTTGGAACCTTTTATGGGCTCAAAAGCCGAATTTAGTGATGGAATTTAGAAGTGGGTATTAAGTCTATAAACCTTGTTGCATTGTGTTTCAGCATTTCCAGGTCTTTATATTTATTTCTTTTTTTTTCTTGTTAAATAGTTGTTTATTGGAAAAAGTGGGCTGAGGAGAGGGTCACTAGACTCACTAGAGAGCAACAATATCACACAAGTTAGGTCAGCACAAAGCTCTGGGATCTCAGCCTCTTTCTGGAGTGTTAGGGCATACCCAGGTAGAAGGCCTTGACTTAATAGGCATGGTTAGAGACAAAGAGAAACTCGCTGGCTGCAGCTTCTGACTTTCCACTTGGAGTATACTTGCCTTGAGCAGCTTGGCAATTAGCTGTGGCCCATTTAATATGTTCCTCTTGGGCAGCCTGGACATTTTCCTTCTTTCCATCCCAGGTCTTGAGGGCAGATGCCTGCAAGGCTTGGCCGTAAAAAAAGGTCAGGGCCCATGGCTTGTGCGAGGGGCTGGTGTTGATGGCATTGAGGTTGATGGAGGCATCCTCTTCACTCAGACCTGCAGATAGGAAGGTAATACCAGTGACTGCAGGAGGCACAGTCTGGCAAAGGGCAGTGACAGTTGCCATTGTGATCTTCTCATGTGAATACTTCTGGGTACAGGCATGGCCAGGGGTGACCATGTTAGGCTTCAGCAAGGTCCCTTACACATAGACATGTTGGTCACTCAGAGCTTTGTAGACAGCAGTCAGGACCTTCTCAGTGACATACTGACGACACTTCAGATCATGTTCTCTATCAGGGAAGATCTCTGGCTCCACAATGGGGACAATGCCATTCTGCTGACAGATGCTGGCATTTCGGGCCGGCACATTGGCATTCTCCAAGATGGCAAGTGGGGAAGGTGTATTATCCCCAGTCTTCAGTACACAGTGCCACTTCGCAAAGTCAGCTCCATCCTTCTTATACTGAGCACAGTGCTCACTCAGCCCATTGGGTGGTAGTCTCATCATTGGTTCCTGACAGGGGTACTATGCCTTTGCTTACCTTGATGCCCACAATGCCCCTCTTTGCTATTTGATTTCTTTATGGGAAATAGGGTCAGTATATCTTGACTGTCACCCACTAGGTTTGTGAAGCTGAAAAGTTTCTAGTGTGCATTGAAACCTTGGGAGCTTGGTCAAGTAATAGTGCATGTCTGTAATCTCTGCTACTGGGATTCTCAGCCTCTGTAGTGCTAGAACCAAGTCTGGTGTCTACAAGTATTCTGTCATCAATATTATCTTCCCACTCCCAGGGCTAACAGGATGCCTAAGGAGGGGTGAACTGACCCAGATCTGAAAAAAGGAGCCAATTAAAACTTATCAACCAATCAGTATTGGAATCACTGTGGGCATAGCCACTGCCTTTCCAGCCTGAACTACATAGGGAGAACCAGTCTCTAAAAAAAAGAAGAAACCTCGGGAGGGAACACAATAGAATTTTGAGGTATTATTACTTAATGTTGATTGGTAATGGTACTTGACATTTCTATTGTGCTCTCTGATTCCTTAAGGAAAATTAAGGTACTTTCAGAGTATGTGCAAAACAAAATGTATTTTAAATTTTTATAAAAGTGAAAAGTTTTTATGTGTGTGTATCTGGACCTGTGATTTCGTAAGTTTAGTGAGGTCCCTCAAATCAACCATGTAATTGATTTTGTGAAAACAGTGTTTTGTTTTGTTTTGGACCTGTGATTTCATCGGCATAGAGAGCTTATTTTCTAACAAACAGCTGTAATTTATATCGGCAAATAATGTGCATGTATTTTCCCTTCTTAATTTATTCCACTATGGATCTATTCACTGTTTTTGTGATTTCTGAGACCAAAACATGGTTGCCATTGCTCTACATATTTTCTCTTCATGATTAGACTATAAGCTTCTTAAGGGCGACCATTAATGAAAGTATTTGTATCCCCAGCACTTAGCACTGTGCTTGACACGTAGTGCTTTTCATGCATTTATTTCATTGATATATGTGTTTTGATTTGGATCTGTGATCTCAGTGAAGCCCATGGAAAATGGCCTTTGCACTGGAAGTGACAGAACAAAAATGATTAACATGTATTGATACCCAAGATAAATAAGGAGTTAGTGATGAACTGGATAGAGTGCTATGCCAGCAAGGCTCAGCTTCCTGAACTTCCTGAGTTCAGATCTGGCCTTAGACACTTACTACTTGTATGACCTGGGCAAGTCACTTAACCCTGTTTGCCTCAGTTTCCTCATCTGTAAAATGAGCTGGAAAAGGCAAATCTGTCCCAGTATCTTTGCCAAGAAAACTCCACAACAGGTCACAAAGAGTTGGGCACGACTGAAAAATGACTGAACACTACCACCACTTAGTTGCCATTAATGAATTCAGATCACCTCTAGTACTGAACTGGTAGATATGATTACTGGGTCAATGTCAGTGATACTTGAAAGATCATGGAAAAGGAGAAAGATAAATGTCCCGATTTAAAAAAAAAAAAGGAACAGAATCTGCAAACCATAGGCAAATGAGTTAAACTTTAATTCTGGGGAATGTTATAGAATTGATTATTAAAGAACTGTTTGGAGAACATCTAGAAAGGAAAGTGATTACAAAAAAAACATCATTGCTTAGTTGAAGTGGCTAGGAGGTGCAGTGTATAGAGGAAGACCTGAGTTTGAATTCTCTCTCAGACACTCTGTGACCCTGAGAAAGTTATTTAACCTCTCTCAGACTCAGTTTTCTCTTCTGAAAATGAAGGTGTTAATAGCATCTACCTCCCAGTGTGATTGTCAGCATCAAATAAGATAATATTTGTAAAGTGCTTTACAAACCTTAAGTACCATATAAATGTTAGGCATTCTCAAGAAGTAGTCATGGGGATTAATTTCATTTCCTTTTTTGACAGGGTTACCAAAGTGGGTAGATGAATATTATAAATACAGTTTACCTTGAGTTTAGCAAAGATTTTGATACAGTGTCTCATACCTTTTATTGTGGAGATGAAGAGATGTAGATCTGAAAATGCAAACAGATGGATTCAGAACTGGGTGTGAGGCTGAATTGAAAATACTTGTTAATGGTTCGTTGTCTTACCCATAGGAGGGCTCCAGTGCAGTGCTCCAGGAATCTTGCTTGGCTCTGTGCTGGTGAAACATTTTTATTATTGACCAGAATACAGGCGTGGATGGAATGGTCATCAACATTTCAGGTTACACAAAGCTGAAAGAGCTAACACACTGGATAATAGGATATAGAAACTATCTTGACAAGCTAAAACATCAGGCTGAATATAGGAAGGTAGAATTCCATAGATGAGGGTTAGACAGTAGTTATTTTGAAAAAGATCTGGTTTTAGTGGACTGCAAGCTCAATATGAATCAGTGTGATTCTGGAGCTGTAAGAGTTAATGTCATCTTGGGTTGCATTGGGCAAAGGATGGCTTCCAATAATAAGGAAGTGATAGTCCTACTGTACCCTGACCTAGTTAGATTTCATTGTGTTCAGTTCTGGGTACCACAATTTAAGGAGAACATTGACAAACTGGAGAGCATCCAGGATGGTGAAGGGTTTGGCATATGAAGATTAGTTGAAGGAGCTGGTAATGTTTAGGCTTGAGAAAACTTGGGGAAGACATAGTAGCTGCGTTCAAATATTTGAGAAACTATCATATGAGAAAGGGTTTATACTAGTTCTGTTTTACCCCAAAAGGCAGAATGAGGAGCAGTGGGGTGAGAAGTTGCAAAAAAGCAAAATTGGCCTCATGGCAGGAAAAACTTCCTATCACTTGGTTCTGTCCCAAAGTGTAATGGGCTGCTTTAAGAAGTGGTAAATTTTCCCTTCTTGGAGGTCTTCAAGCAAAGGCTGTATCATCATTTATCAGATATATTAAGGACTAGGTGGCTACTGAGATCCTTTCCAGGTTGAAAATTCTATTATTCAGGTGAAACAGCATTCTGCCAATGCAGATTAGCAACTTTTCTGCAATTTATAGTCTTAAACAGTTGTCTAGGAATTCTAGGAGGACAAGTGACTTATCTGGGGTCCTACAGCCAGCATGTGTCAGAGGCAAGACTTGAACTCGGGTCCTCCTGGTTTGAGGGCCACTCTGTATCCACTACCAAGTTGCCTGTCTGGTCAAGTGCCTGAACCCTTCATGTGCCCCTGGTTTGGGCCTGCTGTTAAATATAAATGCAGTACATCATACTTAGACCTAACTAGAATTCTTTTTAGTCTGAAATGAATTAGTAACAAAGAAATAAATGTGGATTGACCCTGTAAGAGAACCTAAACTTTTCGTATATGTATTTAGAAGTTCTTTGAATCTCTAAACTGAAACTATAAAGCCTTAAGATCTTTCTTTTCCTTTTCTTTTTTTCTTTCTCCTTTTTTTTCACCCCCAGTACTTGAATGATTTCTTAGAAGTCTATCAACAATCTTCTGTATTTGATTCAGAGGAAGAACATTCAGATTTGTGCTGTGTCACCTATCAGTGTATGTCTCTTAAAGAATTCTTTTGTGAAGTTTAGAGGCAGATCCAGAAAAGCAGGACAGTTTTGAGACTAATGTGTTGAATGTATTATATATTTGTATATCCTATGATTTATGAATATATTATATATTATGTATTATATATACATAAGCTATACGTAATAGATTGGTGGTTTCTTACTCTATCCTTGCGATGTTCTTTTTGTATGTGGAAACATTTGATTATTGATGTTGTCAATTTCAAAACAACCAAAAAAAGTTAAAAAGGGAAAAAATCCTGAAAATACCTTCCTGTCTCTCGGTATTAGTGAGGCAGAAGGAATAGTTAAGGTTTTTGGAAAGGTAAATCTTCCATTACTACATAGTTTTGGGGGAAGCACCATTAATTTATATATCGTGTTCCATCAGTTTCTTAGTAAAAGTGACAAATGGAAAGTTGTAATGAATTAGTTTGTTTTTTGCTGCTTGAAAATATGACCTCTCAGGCCGTTGTCAGGACTTCAATCTTGGGTTTCCCTTGATTCAGATTCCCTTGATTCTTTCTCTTTGAAGTGTTTTTATTTACAAGGAAGCTATGAGGGTTAAGCTGGTAGAAATAAACTTTTTCCTTGGATAATCAATGCTTGTTTGATTTTAATTGGATCACGTGAAGTGTAATTATGAGGTTCCAGTTGGTTTGTGTGCAAAAGGTTTAGATTCTCTGTAATTGGGAATGGTGGTAATGTTGCGCAAAAGAGTGGGCATATGTGTGACTTGTAGATAGTATATTGCCAACCTAAGTGAAAAATCTTGTAAAAAGTTTCTGATGTAGAATGCTTTATATTTTAAAGTAAAATTTTGTCAAGAGTAGAAGGTAAGTTTTTTTTCTTTTTAAAATAATATTTTATTATTTCTCCCTATTAAATGTAGTATTTCAAGAATTATTCCAACACACAATGAAAGAGGATCAGTAGCAAGGAAATGCTAAGCAAAGTACAGTTGAAAATTTTTTTAAAATAGCCCAAAGTGAAAAGGTATTGCCACAAAACAACCTAATTAATCCTCAGAAAAAAAATAAGCAAAAACCTTCAAAGGGATCTGAAGAGAGGAGCTTGGGGCAGTTGTATAAATGATGATTACTACAAGCACATTCAGGATGTCCCAAAAATCTTTATGCAGCTTTTTTTTTCTTTTCAGCCAAAGACAAGGTTTATTAGAACGTCCATCATATTGGGCAGACACTTAAGGAGTCCAAACATGAGTAAGCAGTGGCTAGATTATAAGAATCTGAGCAGTGGCTAGATTTTAGGAATCTGAGCATCTTAATGGAGGCAAGATGGATCTTATATACAGAAAGCCTGTCAGAGGGATCTAGGAGTGGCCAAGTAGTCCATGAGGTAATAGAATTACCAAGGGTGGGATGTGGCCTGGGGCCATAGGGAGGCAAGACAATGGAGGGGATATTGGGTGTAGCCACAATGAAAGGCCTCAGGAAAATGCTAGAGATTTGGCCATGTGGGAAAGTGCAGTATTTTTCCTTTCTGGGGCCAAGATCCCAAACCCATCATTCCCTCCTCAAACAAATGGGAACCAAATTCTTTTGGAGTAAGGGGCGAAGATCTTGGCTTCTTTTTTTTTCTTTTTTTTTTTAATAAATTAATTTATTTTTAGTTTTCAACATTTACTTCCACAAGATTTTGAATTCCAAATTTTCACCCCATCTTGCCCCTACCCCTACCCCAAGATGGCATGCATTCTGAATATTCCTTCTAGTCTGCCCTCCCTTCTGTCTCTTCCCCCCCCAAGGTAAGTTCTTTAGTTACAGCAACAGACTGAAAGTGTTGAGCTATGACAGAGGGAGTCATTTTTCAGTGAGAGCCTTTATTTTAAGTCAGTCACAACTTAATCTGAAAAATTCAATGCCTTGTTATATAATTTTGTTCTCATCCTCAGAGGGATTGTTTGAGTTGGTGACTAGTTTTAGAAGTTTGAGCAATGTTAGTAGGAAAAGGAAATAGTAGAGCATTAGGCAGTTGTTTTTTCCCTGGGTTTGTGTTTAACTAGCTCCTAGTAGTTTACTTTTCCATTTTGTTTTTTGAGTAAGCCATGGAACCATTGAGAGGTCATGTGGCAAAGTGAATGAGCCAGCTGGCTTCTGAGACAGGAAGGCTTTGGTTCAAGTTTTGCCTCTGACACATTGTGACTTTGTGACCCTGAGTGAGTCACTTAACTTTACAGTAATCTAGGCAACTCTTTAAGGCTGTAAGTTGCAGAGAACGCACTGACCTGCATTGCTATAAGAAATTTCACATTGGGAGCACTCTAATCAGTGAAATCTTAGGTCTGGTTCCAGTGCAAAGAACCATTATTAATCACTATTCTCTATTTTCAGAAGCTAGTGACTTAGTCAACAAGCATTTTACTAAGTACTAGATTTTCTAATTACTTAGTACTGAGTTTTCACAAAGAAGGGTGAAAATGCTCCCTTCTGGCAAGGAGTTCACATTCTAATGGGGGAAGAGAGCTGAGTCTTGAGGGAAGTCAAGTGTCAGAGAGAGTGAAGGAGGGCATTCCAGGCACCATGGACATCTGGTGAAAAGGCATGGAGTCAGGAGGTGAATACCATGTGTGAGGAACAGTAGAAGTCTAGTGTTCTTTGGATCATAGAGAAAGTGTGAGGAGAAGAGGGAAATGGAAAAAGACTGGAAAGGTAGGAATTGGCCAGGTTGTGAGGGGCTTTCAAAGCCAGAGGATTTTATGTTTGATTCTGGAGGTGATAGGGAGCCATTGGAGTTTGAGTAGAGGTAACATGGTCAGACTTGTGCATTAGGAAAATCACTGGAAGCTAGCAGACAGAGTAATTAGCAGACTCTTGCAGTCCAGCTGTAAAGTGATGAGGGCCTGTACCAGGAGAATGGCTGTGTGAGCAGAAAGAAGGTGTGCAAGAAAGATGTTGTGAAGGTAGAAATGACAAGACATGGTGACAAGGTATGTGGGATGAGTGAGAATGAATAGTTGAGGATACCTAAGTCATAGGTCTCATTAACTGGGAGAGTGGTGGTACCCTCAAGGGAACTTGAGAAGAGGGAAACATTTCTGAAGGATGGCAGGGGAGAGGGGGAAGATAATCAGTTCAGTTTTTAGTAAGTTGCGGTTTGAGATATCCAATGGACAGGTGAAAATGTGAAACTAGAGCTCACTAGAGATGTTAAGGCTGGATAAATAAATCTGAAAATTATCTTCATAGAGAAGAGAATTAAACACATACTTCCTGATGAGATTTACCAAGCAAGATATTATAAAGCAGGGCTTCTTAACCTTTTTTGTGTCATGGACCCTTTGGCAGTCTGAAAGCCCTTTCTTAAACCCTTTCTTAGAATGGTGCTTCTAAATGCATAAAATAAAATGCATAAGATTATAAAGGAAACAAATTTCATTGAATAAAGATCTAATTTTTTCCCATTCAAGTTCATAGACCCCCAGAAATCTGTCCATGGACCCCAGGTTAAAAACCCCTGGTATAGAGGCAGAAGAGAAGAGGACCCAGGACAGACCCTTGGGGGCACGACCTGTAGGAAGATCCAACAAAGGAGACTGAGGAATGGTTAGACAGGTAGGAGGAGAACCAGGAGAGAGCAATGTCATGAAAACCTAGAGGAGAGAGTATCCAGGAGAAGATTAACATTCACAATGTATGGTCTCTCTCTGTCCCCATTTTAGATGACCCTTTTTGTCTTAAATTAAACATCAGTACACTGGTGCCTTTCAAAAAATTGTATTAATATAATCCTTTCTTCTCTTCTGATTTTAGATGGAAATCATACAGTATAGAGTGTTTGGGTGACATCTGCTTGACAGATCTTCAAGAAACTGGTACTTGGTTTTTATTTTATTTACCATGATGCTTAATTGTGATGAATATCAGTAACTGTCCTACCCTTGTATCACAAGTCTGTTAAAAATCAAATGTAAATACTGTGTAGTTAACTGTGATTTTATAAGCTTTAAAACTGTGCATAACAAACTCAGCTGATAAGTTTATATTATATAGGGTGTCCCAAAAGTCTTAGTGCCATTTTAAGCTTTATTACTAAAGTTAAGTACTTTTAGTACTTTTAGCTACTAAAGCTTCAAATGGCACTAAGACTTTTGGGACACCCTATATTCTAAGTGTCAGTCCATGATCTTTTAGGCAAACTATATTTGAAATTATGTTAGAAATTAATTTTCCATCATTTTATGTGATATTTGATAAAGTGTCCTTTCTGTGAAAATGAGGTGTAGCATGGATTAATGGGTAGTAGGCCTTGAATCTAGGATGGTCTAATGTTCAAGTGCTGCCTTTAGCTGTGTGATCCTGGGCAAGTTACTTAATATGTCACTACTCTAGGCAATTCTTTAAGACTATAAGTTGCAGAGAGGGTGCTGACCTGCATTGAGAGAGGAGTTTTCTTAACAGGAGATCATAATACAAATGAAATCATAGGTCTGGTCTGGGAAACAAACTAACTCACAATTCCCAGGGTAAGTCATTGGGAAGGGGGAGAGCTAGGAGAAGTGATGAAGCATTTTCTAATGAAATCCCAGGTCTAGTCCTTATCCCTGCCATTAAATGGGTATTCTTTGTGATTTTGCATCTAGACCAGTTGGGAGTTAATAAATTCCTTCTAGTGCTGTGAACTAAGTAAGAAAGCTTGGGTTTTAGGCTCCTAACTATGTCATTTAGAGGCATTAGGTAATTGTTTGTTGAGTATGATGATTTTCTTATTCGGATGATCGCTAACAATAGAACATTTGCAGAAAAATAAATCATTGAAGATTTATTGGACTCTGCCAGCAGAGATCTAAAATTAGACTATTTGCTATGCTTACAACTTTTTGTTTTTCTAGCTCAATAGCCACTTTCTTTCATCTGTAATTACACATAGCATTCAGTTCTAGGAGAAGTGTGAAAGTTTGATTTTTTTTTTTGGAATCCACTGTTTGACTTTATACCCTTTGAAATATGAAAGCAGCATAATTATCATCTGTGTCCTCCCTCTCTCACATAACTGACTCAGTTGTTCAGGGGCTGAATATGCAAGTAATAGATCATCTATACCTTTTTCCTGACAGCCCATTAATACTTTAAGTCAAAAAAGAGGAAGGGAACACTCACCCCAGTCATTTTGGCCGTGATGGTGGAAGATGCTCATTAGAGACCTATGACTTTTCATTTATCCACATTAACCTTCCACCAACCCCACAGATAATGTCAAATGTGGTATTAAAAAGCCAATGCTTCCTTTTTTCTGGATGTACTGATGAGCAGGAATTCTGGTCCTTAAAATGCCACCTCTATCAATCCCAAATGAGGAAGCAGTCATAATGGGTACGAGGAGAATGTTTGGCTGTCTCTGCGGGCAACCTGTTGTGAAAGATAGGCCCCTCTTTTATACCTATGGATCCTGTGTCCCAGTCATTTGATAGCCGTCAGAAGTAGGGACATTTTATTTTTTTAGACCTCTTTGTTTTCCCATGCTTTGCCCTTAATTTTAAATTGACAAAATTCTATCATCCTTACCTCCCATGCCAAGAAATGTACCAGACTAAACCCAGCCTTCATTAATGGAAAATAGCATTTTGTTGGAAGTTTGACATAGGGCTAGTCTTACTGCCAGGCATTAATGCCTCTCTGCAGTCAGAGGACATGCTCACAGTTTTTTGGTTTTAGAGTTTTCATTTCGATAAATATTTATTGAGTTGAGCCAGAGTCTTCTGATATGACAGATAGCTTCCTAGAGAGATGACAGTAATACTGTTGGGTTGGGGAGAATGGAAGCTGTTTCTGCTGTAATTCTTTATGAAAAAATTTAATGCTTTTTTTTCCTTTTCCTTTTCCTCCCTTAGAAGACAGAAGTACCTAATGCATTTGAGACAGAAGTAAAGTTGGGGGGAGGGGAGAAAACAGCAACTGCTTTCCTGATCTGCAACTTGGCAGGACACTAAAATGTCTGTGGACATGAATAGCCAGGGATCTGACAGCAATGAAGAGGACTATGACCCAAATTGTGAGGAAGAAGACGAAGAAGAGGATGAGGACCCTGGGGATATAGAGGATTATTATGAGGGGGTAGCAAATGATGTCGAACAACAGGGAGCAGATGCTTTTGATCCAGAGGAATACCAGTTTACCTGCCTGACGTACAAGGAGTCAGAGGGCACCCTGAACGAGCACATGGCCAATTTGGCCTCTATGTTAAAGGTGAGCAAAATTACTGATTTCTGGAGTTATATGTTTCCAAAATACAAAAGGAGGAAGGGATGGGCAGAGGCTACTTAAAATACAGTAAAATTAACCTGACTATGTAGGGTGAAATTCTCATAAGGATTAAGGAAATTCCAAGTTGAGTGAAGGGTGTTTGTGGGCTTCCTCATTCTTGTCACAAGTGGAGGAAGCTAGGTTTAAACATCTTTTGGAATATGTTTCTTGTATTCACTGATGTGCTTTAATAAGTGGACACACTTAGTCTCTCAACTCACTATGCTATTTTCGTTAAAATTGAGAGAAGGAAAGCAGTAGAGAAGACAAATCGGAAATGTATAAGGTATTGGAAGAATCGAATGTATTGCCATTTGTTGCAGAAAGTGAGTCATGTTAACTCTCAAGAGCTAAGGAATGATTACTATAAAATATCCCAACACAAATTTTCCACCCCATTGTTTATGAGTGACTAATAAATGATTTTGATAGCTCTCATTGCCCTGAAAAATTACAAGCACTAGACTGATGATCTCACTTGTTTTATGTAATGATGACTAATATTTATTGTTAGGAGAGATTGCTACTTCTGTCAAGTCAGTCTTAGCAATAACTCTTAAGAGGAGACTTAAGAGGAAACTACATCTCCTAATACCTTATACTGCATTTGGTATCTTAGAGTACATAATAGTTAAGGAGTAAAATGTTTCATATTAGTACTTTGGTTGATATCTTAAGGCTCTTTCTGACCGTTAGAGCTTTAGGAGTTTTTAGAAAAGTTCCCAGCTTGCAACTTCCTACTCCCCAACACATGTGGACAGTTCTTTAAAAGTGAAGGAATCTCTCGTTATCCTGCCTTTTTCACTTTTGTAATTTAGGCATCATATGGGTTTCCTGATATGCTCTGCTGAACTTAGAGAAGAGGTTCAGAGTTTTTGAAAGGCATGTTCTCAGTGAATAACATGTCACTATTGAATGGAAAATTATTATGGTATGTTGTGGGCATTTGGTGTGGTAGATAAAGAGCTGGCACACGAGCCAGGAAGATATGGGTTCAAGTTCTGCCTCTGATGTGTGTTGGTGGTGTGATATCCTGGGCCAGTCACATAACCTCAGTGTTCTAGGCAACTCTTTCTGTTTATAGGTTTCGGAGAAGGTGACCTGGAATCTTTGGATTCTGTGCATGAGAACTTGTGGGATTCATATTTGAGGGTTGTACTTCTGTGTTTAAAAATAGTGGTCTTCCTCCCCCCTGCCCACCCCAAATTAAAAGTTATTTCAGCTCTTTTTATTTTTAGGTTAGTGCCAGGATGAGGCATGGTGTAAAGGTCTATAAGAGAAGAAAAAGTGGCTGATTGTACTCAAATTTCCTAATCTTCGTTTATAAATCCCCTGTTCCTAGGTCTTGAGAGCCCAGTGGCTCAGAGTAAATCTCATTTTGGCTAAGCAGACTTGGTGTATGTGAGTACTTTGGTACTCTATATGTACTTTATCCCCTACAGGAAATAGCTATCTTCTCTGTGCTTTTCTAAATCCTGTCCACCTTCATCATTGAGCTCAAGCCCCTCTTTAACCAGGCCTAACTCATACCAGCCTAGTGATTCAGTCTGGGCATGGAAATATGATGAAGCACTTTTAGACCATAAAATGGAATAAAAGCAACTGGATTGGTAATGAGAGGAAGCTAAATTCAAATAAAACATTATGCTTCCCTTTGCCTTGGAGTTCAAGACAGCACTGTGCAATGGGTAGCTTCCCTGCTCCCTTGAAAGGGAAACTAGCTTAGTCTATGTAAAATAGTCTGCAGTTGCCCTCCCTGACTTTCAGCTTAAAGCAGTATCTTCTTCCTCCAGAATCATAGCACGCAGTGTCAGTGACATTTTTTGGAAATTAATCATGTGTTGCTTTGTCAGTTTTCTTTTTGACATTACCTTTTTATTGATGAACTTATATATGCTTTTTCTCTCCAACTGGATAACTATACTTTTTTGGTATTCTCCAAAAGGTAGCACAGTGCTGGGTATGGTATAAGCATTTAGCAACTATTTATGTGGTGTAGTAGAAAGAAAAGTGGATTCAAAAGACCTGAATTTGAAACTTACCCCGCTACTCCTTACCTATGTTATCTTGGGAAAGTCACTTACCCCTTTTGGGCCTTAGTTTCCTCTTCTGTAAAATGAGGGGATTGGACTAGATAGCCTCTGAAGTCATTTCCAGTTCTAAATCTATATGTGATACAACATTGATTCCCTAGAGTTGATTGCTAATGGCTGTTGATTCCCTAGAGTTAATCGCTTTTTTTTAATTAACATACTCATGTCTTAGGTTGCTGTTCAAATTGAGGCTTGGATGGAGCTTGGAGATTAGGTCAAGATGCTGTCTGGTCCAACCTCCTCCTTTTACAGATGAAGAAAATGAAATCTGATGAGTTTAGGTGACTCTTCCAAGGTTACACAGGTTGTAACCATGAGAAATGGGACTCACATGAAGGTCCTTTGACCTTGTTTGTTCTGCTGCCTCTCTGTTACCAGTATTAGAGATCTAAACAGTTTAAATCATTCAGTCACATAGGATCCCAGATTTAGGGTTAAGAAAAACCTTACTAATCCTCTAGTGCAATTCTCAAGGTTATGCAGGTAGTACATGGCAGAGCTAGGATTTGAACCCACCTTCCCAGACTTTCAAATCCAGTGCTGTTTTCCATTACACCAGGGTAAACCTGTCCTGGCATTACTGACACCTGGTGAACTTGGTGGGCTCCCTGCCCTTTTTGATCCATCATCCCAAGTCTTAGATTGCAGCAATCTAGTGTCCTGGCCCCCTTTGTTTAAAGATGAGGAGTGGGAGTTGGGCCAGCAAAAGAAGAGGGATTGAAAAAGCTTGATAAAGGAAAGACAGAAGAGTGAAGACTGGAAATAGATGGAGGAAAAGAATAAATAAGATAAAAGGAGAAATAGACTTGGTGTTCAAAGAGGAAAAAGGTACCTTCTTTGAATTGTTAAGTACCCATCCCCAGATCAGCTCCTGTACCAGGAAGGCAGTCATGAATATCACTTGTCTTCTGCCTATACTTATTGGTGAGCTTAGGTAGTGAGGGGCCTTCCCTTGAGTAAAGTGTCGTCTTCCAACCTAGAGGCATCTTTACAAAGAATCAGGAGTACTAAGCAAAATCAGCTTTCTGAAGGAGAAAGGACCAACGATCATAATGTGAAAGTGATGGATTTGAGAGATGGAGGTTGGTAAAGCCTGTTACTCCAAAGAGACTGGCTATTAAGAAGTTAGGCCAAGTGACATATGAATCTTCTCTTTGCTTGTCTTTCAGAGTATGTTTGGAATTAAAGACCAATAGCAGTGAACTATTTCATTATTGTATGTTGAAAGGATTTTCTTAAGGGCTGAGTCATTAGTTAGTATTGGTATAGGAGGTGGTATATATAGGAAGGGAGGAAGCATTCTGTTGTGTGACCATATAAGAGCCTCTAAAGGAAATTTAGTCATTGAGTTTTATTACAGAGCATTACAATTCTTTCATAAATGCAGTGTTCATATTGTTAATAGTATATACTGTAGTTTATGAGAACAGGGAGGCCCTTTCACTAAGGGCTGACTGATAGCTTGACATTTATCTCAAGTGTGAAGTGATTACTCATGAAGAAATTTCAAAATCATCCACTGAGGCCATGAATATAGTAGTACTCTTGAAGTCTATACATGCGTAAATGGAAGGCCTCCTTCTGAAGGGCATATATTGGCAATAAAAGCATTTTGTGGTGCCTAGGGCATTTAATTTAGAAATAGCCCAGCTTTCATTCAAGACATATTTAAGTTCAGTTGTATGTCTTCTGCACTGCTAAGGGTGTTCCAGGGAATATGAAAGAAGGCACAGTTTTGTCCTCAACTTGCTTATGATTGAGTTGGGAAGATAAGATGTTTACCTGAAAACCAGAGAACAATTCAATGCAATTACAGGATTCCATGTAAGGGAAAGATCACTGTGGGATCACTAGGGTTAATCTAGTAAGCCATCATGGAGGAGTCGGAGTTTGAGCTGAACCCCAAAAGAAATATAGGCTGAGAAAATCAGGTAAAGAGAGCAGCTTGAACAAAAGCATATCAGTGGGAAAGGGCATGCTATTTTTAAGGGATGGGGGGGAGGAGAGGGAGGCTCATGGGTAATGCATTTAGAAAGAATGAGATGGTAGTTAAATTGAGGTCGGATTTGGAGGTCCTGAAATACCAGATTGTAGTATTTGGCTTTTATTTACAAATAGTAAAGTCCTTAAGCTGAGGAATAATGTAAAGAGTTAATATCTCTTTAATGCTCTTCTCTAAATTATAGCATATAAGAGCAAATTATTGTAGATTTCTGAATAAGATGGTAGTAGTGTTGGGATGTAGCCCACCTCTCTCATTTGACAAATGAAGAAACTAAGGGCTTCTTCACCTTATCCTCTCTCTGGTTTTTTGTTGTTGTTGTTGTTGTTGGTTTTGGGGCAATAATGGATGCCTAGTTTCTTTCAGAGGATACTTCATTTCTGACTACCTTTTCTAGTACTAGGAGTTCCTTTTCTCATCTCTCCCATCGCCCTGAACAAATAGAGGCATGCTTCTTATTTTTCATAACTACTTCTAAACTGTTCTTTTGCCACTGTCAGTCAGCAGTCTCTCTTCTTTTGAGATTTGTTTCTTCTCTTTATATTGACTAGTACAAATTCTTATTTATATTACCTATATAATGTACCTGGTCTCCAGGAACATTCCCCCCCCCTTTTTTTTTAAGGAACTTAGTTCTGATACAGTTTTCTTCTCAACATCAACCCCTTCATATTTGGGGACTTATACATGTTGACATCCACACAATTATTCTGACTTCCTATTTTATCTACCTTCTTTACTCCCTGCTTCTGTATCTTCTATCTTAGCCACGCACAGGAATGGTTGTCTTCTTAGATCTGCCTTTGTACCCATAACTCTGTTATTGCTGTGATCTTGAATTCTGAAAT